ACCACGTTTACGCCTGCTACCACCAGTAAGCCCTTTGTTAAATACTTTCCACGAACCTCGTTTAACGACCGTAAAAAGATTTCCCTAAGCCCCCTAAATGAAAGTCGATGAAACCCCGTTGTTTACAAATTGGAATCGATGCTACTTCCGGCCTTCGTTTGCTTCCCTTACGCAATCCAACCGAATGTTAAGACTTCGCTCCTCCCTAGCGGGATCGTTGACACGTTTATTTATCGATCCAATAAGTAAATAATTACTTTATACCATGTATTTTATAATAATAATAATAGTAATAATAGTCTCTTCGTTGCCTCGCAGTTGGTGGCTCGATACAGTCAAACATCAAGGTCCTCGACCTTAGCTACAACAACATCTCGGACATAATGAAGTACTACTTCAAACCAGTGGAGTACTCGTTAACACACCTGCACATGTCCCACAACCAACTGACCAACGTCACCCAAGGTGTCTTCGGGAACATGCCTCACCTGCAGTGGCTCGATCTGAGCCACAACGACCTATTGGAGATCGACTTCGACTGCTTCAGGAACACGAAGAACCTCCAGGTCCTGTTCCTCTCGTGGAACGAGCTCATGGAGTTACCAGCTGAAGCTTTCAGGCCCCTGAAGAAGCTGAGGATCGTCGACCTCTCCCACAACAAAATGAGAACACTGCCTGACAGCATGTTCTTGGACACGAACATCGAGAGCCTGGATCTTTCTCATAATCAGTTCATGAGACTGCCAATGAAGACCTTTTCAATTTCCGCTGCTGCGAGTCTCTCCATGCTGGACATGTCTTGGAACTCGCTGTCGGGGATTCACACCACCGACGGCATATTCAGATTACGAGTTCGTTTCGCTCAGCCTTTATATAAACTTGCACGGTCATTCTAGGGATTCCTAAACACGTCTGGGGAGTTTAAATTCAATATTAGGAGTGCCGAACGCACCACGCAAATTAGCTTTATTTAATGCTTTGGGCAGGTTGGGTTGGGTCGTTGGTGATAGATTCAAAAATGTGTAGCTTGAGGAAAATATAAGGGTTATCAAGGGTTAATCTCTTTCTTTATCTCCACTGTAGATCTCCACTTCCTTTCCGTGCCAAACTTTTAACGCACCCAAAAATTAATAAAAAGTGAATGAACCCTACTCAATGATTTATTTCAGAGTTTAACGTGGCTAGACCTGTCCTACAATCGATTGATCAGGCTCGACGATGGGGTGTTCTCCGACATGCCCTACCTGACTCATCTCGACTTGAGTCACAACAAACAGCTGCTCCTGGAGTCTCGCGGAAGAACATTCCACGGTTTAGAGGACTCGCTCCTTTATCTAGATTTGAGCAATATTTCGCTCTTGAGTGCAAGTATTATAAAAACAAGCATCCAGTATCGGGAAACAAGGATTCGCGTAATAGCGAAGATGTTATGTTTAGGTGCCAGACTTGCCGCTGCGACGACTACAAACGTTGTACCTGGCGCACAACGAGCTGGCATCGATACCGCCAGAGATGGCATCGAACTTGACGTCCCTACACTACCTGGACCTGAGTGCCAACGATCTGACGGTGGTGCCACTGATCACGCACACCCTCCCCGAACTGAAAACCTTCAGTCTCGCGGACAATCCCATCACAGCTGTCACCAACACTAGTTTCTTAGGAATCGCCGACAGCCTCGAGGAACTGGACATAAGACGGTTGTCTCTGTCGACGTTTGAAGTAAGTCTTCTTTTCGTTGGAATGTTTGAGCTTTCAATGGTCCTAATACTTGTACTGCTAATATTTTGTTAATTTTAAACATCGAGTTCCCTTCGATTGAAATATAAATATTTCTTGGATTGCAGTCAGGCGCTCTCTGCAAAGCCACCAAACTTCGCAAGCTATATATAACCGCTTACAACGGCGTGAAGAATTTCAACTTCCCCAACATCTTAGAGTACAACCATGGCCTGAGGCATCTAGTCATCGACGTAGGTCTAAAATTAATTTTGCACTTCGAGTATTCCAATCAGGATACATACACGGTGTCGAGTCACTAATTTATAAAAAGTCGAGGGAAGCTTAGATATCGAATGTTTTGATTTCAGGTACAAAATGACACGGATCTGGAAAAAGAGATGAAAGGAAAGTTCCCTTACAAATTGTTCAACATAACGTTGACCGGTCGAGCTCTGAAGAACATACACATAGATATACTACGAGTACGCATTTGTAATATTTCTCTGAAACAGTTAAAAAATATTACTGCAATACTTAATGCCCCGTAATGTTAAATGATGTACGAGAAAGACAGACGAATACAAAGAATTCGTTTTGTACTTTATAAATTTTTATACAATATCAAAGAATTGAAACCAGTAAAATATTTTCAAAGAGTTCATCTTTAATTGATTACATTGAATTCACTCAGAAACCATATTGCTCAGGTTTCCAATGGCTCTGGTACTTAGACTTGACGAAGGCTCTGGAGAAATTGTATTTTTTCTAGGGAATAAGGAATCCACACTTGAATTTCGGGATGTACAATACCAGCGTGGATAGCGTACCGAAGATGATGTTCGAGAACGCGGAATGGGTGAGAAACGTAACCGTTCATCTTCATCACAGCGACGTACGGACGCTCCATAATCCCTCGAATGGGTACAAACCGGGAGTTCCTGGGAAACGGTTTCTGATGAAGCTCACGGTGACAGGAAGTTACTTCACTTGCGACTGCGATATTGGGTGAGGCCCTCTTCTTTATTTAAATACGAACGAGTTGAAACGAGCACTTCAGAAATGAGAGCTCTCTGTTCCAGATGGATGGAAACATGGCAAAGGAAGCACAGACAGTACCAAGAGGACCGGTGCAGCACTTACAGCGAGTTTAAGAATTTCGAAAGGGACGAAGAGGACGACGAGTTCGACTGCTGGAACAATAACTGGGACGACGATCTCCGAGAAACGTTTTGCATGAACAAAAACAACATTTCCGTGCTGGAAGCACTGAAAGATGATCTAGAGTGCGGGTGGGGTGGGGCTGGATACGTCGGAGCTCCTCATCGTCTCGCTCTGCTTTGCGGCGTCATCCTCGCGGCAGCGATTTACTGAGTACAAATCTTCGTGTACTCGAATTTCACACTTTTCGGCTCGGTCACCGTTCTTTTCCTCACGACGCACCGGTGCCTCGAAATGCAAATGTTCCAGTGCAGTATTTGTTTATTTCATTTTTAAACAGAAAAGACATCGTAGACGGTACAAACATCATCATTAGAAATCATAAACGTTTCGAGCTCTGATAGAATTTAAAAGTTCTAAACGTCTATTATTACAGATAATAATAATGTTTTTCAAAGAAGAATTTTGTATTAGACGTGTGTACAATTTGAAATTGTTAATTTTCGTTTTCAGCAACCAAAGAACACAGATGTGATTGCGTTTGTTTATGGTGACAAGAATATTGTACAACGACGTGCAAAACTCATCAGATAATTGCGTCTATAGTTCTACTACGAAGAAAGAAATATTTCTTCTGAATAAATAAAAGGTTTTTCTGTATTATTCTAAAGCGAAGCTCGAGAAGGCACACTTTGGAAATATTTGCACGCCGCTGTACGCGAGAAGCCATTGAATAATCATAATGTAATATTAAATCATTTCAGCGATGTGTACGTATATACCAACGTATTCGGATTTACTTAGCGATAAGTATCAGTATTTATAAGTAGCGGTAGTTTACTTATTCACAGGTAATTTTAATAACCTTCGAGTATAGTGACTCGGTGATATCCATTTATCATTCTCGACGATGATTTTAGTTATCGATGCTCATGATGCGGTCATTGCTTAACCCTAGGAGCATTTCTGGGATCTTTACTGATTCTAGTCTATTCATATAAACACGATAAAAGGTACATTAACATGATATTATAATTATGAAAGTATAAAAGAAGTTATATTAGAAGTATATAAAGATCGTAAAAGACCCAAAAGGGATATGGAAAGACTGCAGAAATTATCCTAGGGTTTACGCTATTCGCACAAACGTGATCACATCCACGATCGTTGTTTCAACGACATTCCCAACTTTTTTCCACGAAATAGTTTCTAGACCTGCATCCTAATCCGACGCGTCGTAGAGAAAATGAAGTTTCTGCACATCCCTTCGTTTCTTCGCCTTGAGCAGCACGCTTCAAATCAATGAGACTGTCAAATGAATATTCAGATACTCGTACAAAGTGTAAATCATCGGAATCAGCAGGAATTGAGGTTTCACTCATTTCGTAGTAATTAGTTATTCTTCTTGGGATCGTTGTATAAAAGTAACACAGTAGCGTCGTATTCGACTCCTCGTTTCCTTCGCGCCATATTGTCGTTGAATTAAGATCTCGCGAACATAAAAATATATCCATACTAATACGTATTTTTACAACGACAAATGGGTATTGACTTTCGAAAGGCGAAACTTTTCAAATTTTAGACACCATTTTGTCAATTTTTGAAGAAGAAGATTGCAATTCCTTCTGTTTTTCGAATCTCTTGTAAAAAGATACTCACTTTCTTCGTTTCGCGAGGTTTTAATTCGACAAGAAACGTGTTTCAACGTTTCGTTTAATCGCCAGGATGTAAAAGGCATCCTGATTTAATATTCGAAAGGATCAGAGAATATATCGAGCGTAAGATCAGACAGACTTTAACATACGTTCTCAAATGATGTCCTGTAACTCGACAGTAAAAGGATTTTATACCTATCTGTTAAAAAAAAAAAACAAAAAACAGAATATTCGCTTGCAAATACATACATGCCGTCGACACGACATTTTTTAATAAAATTGCACCGAATATACGAGAAACGTTTTCCGTTATTATTTACAACCTTCCATCTTTAATGTACATGAACATTAATTCTTTCGGTACATAACATTGGTAAAATAGAATGAAATAGACAAAACAGTAAATAACATTAACAAAGTAAAGCAGATGTACTCGCTGGTGTATAAATCTTCGAATAAAACAAAACATCGGACCTTCGCACAATGTTAACGAAAGTAAAAATCAATACAATATTTTTTTCTGAATGACTTTGAAAAACAAGATGATTGGCATTAATTCTATAGCATGATCTTTGCAGTTATGCTAATTACCATTTGCATAATGGGTAAGACGATAAATCCAAATATAAATATTAAACAGATGTATATACTGAACAATTCAGTTGTAAACACGATGCATCGAATTATCGTCTGACGTAAGTCCTTGCTGTTCCTTATGCTGATAATTTTGTCCAGAATGAACCGCAATATGTACAGGAACACCTTAAATAGAACGAATTTTCAGTAGGATAGAAACATAGAAGAAGTTTTAAATTAGGTTCTCCTTTAATTACTTTATGCTTAAAACAAATTAAATAAAATTTTTTATTTTAAACTTGAAAATGCATAAAAAAAATAATTTTTATGACCTCAGCAACAGGTATGACGTTCAACATCACGTATAATAGAGCGAGGAGAGATCGACCAGTCGCTTGACCCATTATCCTGATCAGAGCCGAAAAAGAATATTCTGTTCGTGGAACGCCGCACGATTCTTGATAATTAACCAGGTACTCTCGGAAATTGTGCAAGTAGTTCGTTTTCGTGTCGATTATAGCAGAATCCTCGTAACAGCTTTCTATTTTATTGCACGGATTCGGCAACAAACTCGTTGAAATATCATTCCCTTCGAAAAGAAGACTATTTCATATTTAATACACCCATATCTCTAATAGTATAAAATAGTCCCTGGTAGGTACAAGTCGCTAATGAAACATAAATTGATTACTGTACTAATTTACACGAAGAAGACTCTTTGTCTACTCAATAGAATCCACAAATACTTCTAATTAACTTTAATTAAATAAAAATAAATTCAAATTTCCCGCCGGAATTTGTGTCGCCATCTAGCGGTTAAAAGGCCGAACTATTTTTCGGAGTATGGTCAGCGCCTCTATCGGGAAAACGCTCAAGTTTGCCCTTGATAGTTCCATTTTTCACCGCTAGATGGCGCTTTTCGTGGTAATTTACCGACATGTTGGTAACGTACCGACAGCTGTCGGTAAATTACCACGAAAAAGCGCCATCTAGCGGTGAAAAAAGGAACTATCGAGGACAAACTTGAGCGTTTTCCCGATAGAGGCGCTGACCATACTCCGAAAAATAGTTCGGCCTTTTAACCGCTAGATGGCGACACAAATTCCGGCGGGAAATTTGAATTTATTTTTATTTAATTAAAGTTAAAGCGAAAAAAACGGGAATCCACAAGAGAAACGGTGATAGTTTAAATGTTTTAAAGAAGGATAGTTTAAGAATAAACGACAAACAATTTTTTAAAATTCTTTTGGACAAAATGACAAGTGGATTTCTAGATACAACTCTGAGAAAATTAACAGGAATCAAACACAAGCATTTGTTTTAATTAATCTAAGATAATAGTCAAGTCAGCAAAAAAAATGAAAGCCAAGAAGCCACGTCTGTCTTGCTTGATAAATTTACCTATCAAAATTTACCTGAAGCGAAATCACCGTCTTTCCACTGATTCGATCGATCCAGATCCGAAACGCTGTAAGGAGTTTTCCATTTCCAATCGGGGATAACGGCCTCATGGATGATGTTATCCGACAAGGTATGATCGATCAACTCGTCGTATTTCCAATCGCCTGATATCTGGCTTAAAGCATTCCCATCCGTTTTAAATTTGAATTTCTCGTCCGAATGTGGATAAGCATTGCACGGCGATTGATCTTTCACATAGCTATTTTCCATATCACATTTACTACCATCTAGAAACTATTAAAGGATGCAAAATGTAGAGAGTTTTAATAAAAACTGTTTATAGATCAAAAATTTGACAGCAGGAAATTCAGAATTTATGTAAAGCAAAGTAATGTTAAAAAGAATGGAAATAATTATGGTGTGATCCAAACAAAATGTATAAAAGTGTGAAACAGGATTCAAAGTGTTTAAAGTCATGATTTCTCGTTTTACTTGTTGATTATGAAAAAAACATTTATTTTCCAGATGCCATTTCTCGTTATAATCAGACTTTGGTACAAAATCGAAACTGTTCTGACTTTGTAAATCACTCATATTCAAAGAACAGGACACACGGATCGCAGTTGGACCTCCGTCGGTACGCATAATCGCTAATTTTCAACTACGCACGATTTTAAACACCGATTACAATTTTATTGTCGTAAACGACGACGAAAATATCAGTTAATTTTTATGTCCATTCGTTCGAGAAGAACGTTCACATTCACAAAACGAATGAAATTATCCGCCGATACGTAACGTCACCTGACAACGAAGTATACATGTATAGTGCGATTCATTTAAATCGACTTTTCGATTTGCTATAAATTCTTTTGAGTCCTTATAGTGGGAACAAAATCAACTGACCCGCTCAAGGTCATTGGAGAGTCATCCCCACCACATATCGTTTTTCTTACCCCCACCATTTCATCTCTGATTGTTACGTGAATCTAACGTAAAGGTGTTGCGTCTGGTGCACTTTACAGTCAGAAAAGTCGCTTCGAGCGGTCAATTGAGCTTGATCCGATTATAGCTTGCTGCGAAAATAAATGGCGCACGGGTTATTCAATAGAACTTTATTGTCACGTGACTAACAATAGACAGCCGACAACGTGGAGCAGTTTCATTGAGAAAGCCGCCGATTACAAATGTTTATACAAATCCATTCTCGTGTATACATATAGATTATCAGACACTAATCGTATTCATCGAAGTAAAATATGATGTTAGAGAAAACCAAATAACAGAAGTCACATAGAAAAAAACAAAACGCGAGGAAAGAAACATCAGCGATCATGATTCTGCGTTCTCTCTACGTAATTACAAAATTGATCTTGTGTACAGCGCGCACGACGTTAAACAGGGGTATTCTCGGCTTGATTTTCATCATCGTACCAACTAGGATCCATTAAATCTACAAATAATATATATTTCTACAAATTCCGACTCATCATTTTCAGTACACTTTCACACTCATCACAGTCGCGCATCTCACTATTTATTCTTAAGCTGTGTGTACTGTGTTATGTTGGTTTTTTTTTGTCTTGCTTGCTTTCTTTCATTAAGGATAACATCGAGAGACGAGTCACAGCAACTTCGAAGCCGACGTTCTTCACTGTCCCGTAATCGTGAGCAGTAAAAGTACGAAATATCAGAGAAACATCACGGCAAGACTCGTCGAGGTGCGTTAGTCTGCTTTGGCGCTTAAACAATAGTAGTGCGAGGAAATTCAAAGCGTATACCGCGTGAAAATTTGTATTTCGTATTTTTTTCTTTTATCTTTTTTTTGTACAGCAATTCCTGTTGCCGCTTGTGCGGGGAAAACGCATTGGAGGACAACGATCGTTTTTTGCGAGGTATTCTCGGTATCAATTGGGCGAATTTATTTAATTATTTATGAACCATTGTACGAAAGCGGGATTTGGTTCGTAACGTTTGCATAAATTTTCGAATAAATACGTCCATTCAGCGGGGCAAAGAGAGAGATTCACCGATCCCGTGTTTCGGGGACTCGATGACACTCTGAAAGACTGGGGGAGATACCGAAACTTTTGCGCACATTTACAACATGCCGAAACCCTTTGAGTAGTTGATCGCCTTCAACAAACGATCTTGCAATTTTTCTATTGTACTATAGTCCGGCAACAGTAAGACGTTGAAACACGTGTGAGCTATCGGTAGTCTGAAAAATTAGAAAATATGTTAGCATCGACTTACAATTACGATAAGAAACCGCGATCTGTCATAGCTCGTACCTATCTGAGTCTGGACCGTGTCTGGCGATGACCATCTTTAGCCTCGACAAACCGCCAACCGGTACTCTGTCGCTTCCAGTGGTGAATTGGAGAAGCCTTCGTTGACTTTCTGTTGGCAACGAATGCGCGACTCGCCAGAAATTACGTATTGCCTCGCTGTCCACTGTGTAACCTCCTTCGTATTCTGTAGCAGCTTCTAGTTCTGCAAAATCGAAGATCTTGCTGCCGCAAACAAGCTGCAATAAAAATTCGTAGTTTAATTATAATTTTCATTTCGTGTTTATAGGTTATGTCTATAACCTAACCTATCTAACGTAATAGTTAATACATACTTGTTCGATTTCTTCAGGTCTAAAAAGTAACGCCAGCGGACTTTCGTCTGTAACCATTTGAAAACCACGCCTGAACGCCTTAAATTGCCTTTCTACTGATTTATTAAGTAAAAAGTCCGCATAAAGATCTACGAATTCCTTCTTGTTCTCTTGGGTCACAAATAATTCGTCACCGTTTTCTTTGAGATCATGGAAAGATATCCAGCCAAAGACATCCCTGCGATATACAAAAAGTTATTAATTTATTTGCTATTCAAATTATAATAACCTTCATCAGTTATAGACTTACTTATAAGCTACTTTGAAGGTTTGCATAAATGTTTCCGGCATGTCATCTCCGGTATACTCCAGCAATTCTTTCAACGTTCGATACAATGTAGGACTCCAATCTTCCAAATCAGCGAAAGTTCCTTTCCTACCGAGTAATTTTCGATAAACTACCATCGAGAAACGCACGTCAAGTATTACGTTGTTGTATATGGCTAAGCCAAGAACAACGCCTATAAGCGTGAAATGTGCGTTAACCTCCAATGATGTTGGATTGAACCATGTCATCTGGGTGTCTTCCTATTATAAACAAAAACACAGATAAGTGTACGGTAAACGTTCGCTTCGATTATTGAAACCCAAATTACCTGAGTTGTGAACATGCCGTAATCGGGATTAAAGATTTCCTCTACGATTAAATGAAAGAATTCTTTGGAGACTCCGCCCTCGTCTACTCCCTGCTCACCCTCAAATTCAACAACTAATTGCTTCTTAAGGTCAGATGGATTTTCCATCGCGATCATTTCTAATTCAACTAACGCATCGTCTATCAAACGATCTCTCCTAACCTATTTTGATAAAAACAAAGAAGTACTATTAATACAAATTTGACGAGAAAATTATAAGTTCGTACATACCTTCAATTTTAAATACGGATTAGTTGGTTGACCAACAATAGTTTGTAAAAAGCTCACTCGGCGTTCACTGTACATTCTGATACGATTATCGTAATACAACCCCAACGTCTTCGTAGCAGGCGTGAGAATGAAGGCGTAATTCATAAAACTAAATTTCATAGGTTCCTCACTCTTATAATACGCGAAATCCTTATCCATTTCTATGGCATCACTTAACGGTTCGTTATAAAAGTCGGTAAAAGGTATAAACGGTTTCCGTACGTCTAGTGCGGACAATCCAAGTTCTTTCGCTAATGGATCCTTTAAATAATTATAATTATTGTCCGCGTTAAGAATAACAATTAACCATTTTGTAATCTCTTTTACCATGTTTTTACCTGAGGAATCTGTGTCGCCCTTCCAGATTTATCGTTACTAGCAGATTCACCATCATCATCTATATTTAACTCAGGTTCATCTAATTCACCAGCTAACATACTCGCGTAATATAGAATTTTCATAACTTTCGTAGGAGCGGTAATAGTGTCTGCATCTTGAACGCAATAATCTCGCGTAAAAGATCCACCTATTACCTGTAAAAGTAAACATTTGTAGTCTGCTCTTAAACTTGTTTATAACCTTAAAATGTATACCTTGACGGTTATCAATTCTTGAAGAGCCTGTAAAATACTTAGAAGTCGAGATTTACAATGTTTAGCCCATACGCGAGCCAGTTTAGCTTGTGCCACGACAGGAAAACAGCTGAGTGCTTTACAAAGCATGTGAAGAGCGAGTTCCAGAAATTCGCTCTTTCCGAGCACAGGAATTTCAAACACAATGAGGAATACATTTAACATGCTGTCCACATTTTCCCATGCCATAAGGCGAAACACTCTCAAATCTAATTCGATATTATCCGCCAAAGTGACTAGTGCATTGACTAAAGCAGATTCAAATGCCTCCCCTAAACATAAAAAGAAAAGTGCGATCGATTAAACATGCATAGAAAAGAATGTAATCATTATTTTATTATTTTATTTCATCGAAAATTATATTACCTGGTAATGACCAAAGAGCGGCAAAGGCTCTTCGGACAGCTGGTAGATCAACGCTAGTATCATCATTATTAGGAACTGTGGGCGATTCTTCACTGCTATCTTCTTCTTTGTCTTCTCCTTGAATAGATCGAATTGCTTCTTTATCCATGTCGCCAGGCCTCAACAAACTATCTGATGCTCTGTTGAGAAGCGCGGTCAACAGAGAATCATTTTTAGCAGTTTTTTGAAAACTGAGACACAATGCCTTCCCAGACGAGAACACTTCTCCCAATGTACGAATTAACAGCGAGTACGATCCTTCCGATTTACATTTTTCTATTATATCCAAAAGTTTCCCTTCTGTGAGATATAGTACCCGTTTTCCTGTTAATAATAAATCAATTTTATTCTGTTGCAAGTATTTCTCCAAGTAATTTATCATTATAGATACTCGTAATAAAATCGTTCGTGTCTTGTCTAATACCAGATTACAATGCTTCTAAATTAAATTACAAATAAATAAAGAACAAGAATTTTGAATGAAATACATTTATTAACATGTACACAGCAGCTACACGAAAGTCAATAAATAACGTTAGTTCAATTTTGTATACAATGATTCCATAAAAAAAAAAACAAGGGAAATTATTCAATTATTTCTACTTATGATCCATATATCTTTCTCTTTCTATGTATCTGAGGTACAGATTGAGTATTATTAATTTTGCAACAGAACGAGAGCAGTTTTTTACGCGAACTCCTGTGTTAGAGGATACCTTTTTTTTACGATGAAATTTCCGTTTTATTTTGCTCCGTCTCGATGTTTTTTTTATGATTTTATTGTTATTATTATTTTGTTTATTCACGGGATTGTTATTATAATTTGGAATTCGAATATTATATCTGTCTAACATATTTAGAAAAACCTCCTCATCCGACACTATCGATTTACTTAAAACTGAAGCGCAATTACGATTTGTTTTCGAAAATGGGCATAATGTACTATGACTATCTATCCTTGATTTACTGGCAGGAAGCGATATAGTCGGCTTTTCATTCGACATTAATTTAGCGCAAGTTTCATTGTTACTTGTAAATCTATTCTTAAAAGAAATTTGCGTATTGTTGTATGTTAGAGCTTGAGGAATGGGATCCGATTCTTTGGTATTTTCGGAAATCTCCATTTTTACAGGAAACATTACCGAGTCATTGTTTACAGGGACAGGATTTACGCAGGGATTTGATGCAATACCTTCGTTCGAACATGTCGGATTTACACTTTTAACTGGTAAACTCTTAGCCATTGACGCCGGTCCTGGCTCTAAAGTTGTTCGGGCTACTTTACTTGGTTGAGTTCCATCGCAAAGTCTTGCTTCTTGCGAGAACAATTGAATAGCTTGAGCTGCA